TTAAAGAAAGAAATTAAAGAAGGTATCTGAAAATGGAAAGATCTCCCATGCTCTTGGATAGGTAGGAACAACATTGTAAAAATGGCAATCCTACCAAAAGTTGTTAGTATTCAGGCGTCTGTACTGGCCTGTCCTTGGGGTTCTGACAGGATCCGCCCTCAGCTGCAGCCACTAAGAGCACCACCTGTGCACATTCACTGTGTTCCTTTTAAAGGGCCCTGCCCACTTTCCATACTTCTCCCTCTTTTTCTCCCTCTCTGTCTGTTCCTATCTCTCCCCCTCATCTTCTTCCTCCCCCCTTTCCTTTCTCCTCTCTCCTGCTGCTCCTGTCTCCAGAGGCCAGTCTCCCCTTCCATTTTCCCTTTTACGATCCCTTTCCCTAATAACCCACCCCCTCCTGTCCCATGGTGTCTTTCTTGCACATGATGCTTTCCTTAAATTACAACAAAAGCAATCTACAGATTCAATGCAATCCCCACCAAAATCCTAGCACAATTCTTCACAGACCTTGGAAGAACAAATACTCAACTTCATATGGAAAAACAAAAAACCCAGGATAGCCAAAACAGTCCTGTACAATAAAGGACCATCTGAGGGCATCATCATCTCTGACTTCACGTTCTACTATAGAGCTACAGTAATGAATACAGCTTGGTAGCAGCATAAAAACAGACAGGTAGACCAATGGAATTGAATCAATGACCCTGATTATCAGTCCACACACCTATGAATACCTAATTTTTGATAAACATAAAAATATAAAATGGATAAAAGAAAGCATATTCAACAAATGGTGCTGGTATACCTGGCTGTTGACATGTAGAAAAATGCAAATAGATCTGTATCTATCACCATGCACAAAACTCAAGTCCAAATGGATCAAAGACCTCAATATAAATCCATCCACCCTGACCCTCACAGAAGAAAAGGTAGGAAATACCTTTGAACACATAGGAACAGAAGTTCACTTCCTAAATAGAACATCAATAGCACAGACATGGAGGGCAACAATTAATAAATGGGACCTCCTGAAACTGAGAAGCTTCTGTAAAGCAAGAGACATGGTCAAGACAAAACGGCTCTCCACAGAATGGGAAAAGATCTTCACCAACCCAACATTTGACAGAGGTCTGATCTCCAAAATATACAAAGAACTTAAGAAACTAGACAACAAACTACCAAATAATCCAATTAAAAATCTGGTACATATATAAACAGAGAATTCTCAACAGAACAATCTCAAGTGGCAGAAAGATACTTAAGGAAATGCTCAACATCCTAAGTCATCAGGGAAATGAAAAAAACAACTCTGAGATTCCATCTTGCATTGATCAGAATGGCTAAGATAAAAAACACCAATGACAGCTTATACTGGAGAGGATGTGGGAAAAGGGGAACACTCCTCCATTGCTGGTGGGAGTGCAAATTTGTACAGCGTTGTGGAAATCAGTATGGTGGTTTCTCAGAAAGTTAGGAGTCTACCTCAAGATCCTGTAATAACACTGTTGGGCATATACCCAAAGGAGGCACACATTCACACCACAAGGACATTTGCTCAACTATGTTCATAGCAACATTATTCGTAATAGCCAAACTTGGAAACAACCTAGATGCCCTTCACCTGAAGAATGGATAAAGAAAATGTGGTACATTTACACAATGGAGTACTACTCAGCAGTAAGAAACAATGACATCCTAAAATTTGCAGGCAAATGGACAGAAGTAGGAAAGAACCATCCTGAGTGAGGTAACCCAGACCCATGAAGACAAATATGGTATGTATTCACTCATAAGTGGATATTAGTCATAAAGCAAAAGATATCCAGCCTACAATTCACAACCCCAGAGAAGCAAGAACCCTCTTTCAGTAATAGATGGAAGAAAATGCAGAAACCCACAATTAACCAATGGGCCAAGTTCCTGGAGTACAACTGAGTGAGGGAGGAGCGATAATATGAATAAAGGTGTCAAGACCATGATGGAGAAACCTACAGAATCAGCTGACCTGAGCTAGTGAGAGATCAGTGACTCAGGCCTAACAAATGCGGAACCTGCATAAACCCAAACTAGACTCCCTTACTATAGGTGACAATGGTGTGACTGGGACAATGTATGAGGTCACTGGCAGTGAGTCCAAGATCTAACACTAATGCACAGACTGACTTAGTGGAGCCCATTCTATATGCAGAGATACCATGCTCAGTCTAGACATAGGAGTGGGGATGGGGGGTGGAGAGGTGCCTTGGTCCTGCCTCAATGAGATGATGGGACAGACTCAGTAGACTTCCTAGGGGAGGCCTTGCCCTCTCTGAGGAGCAGGTGAGAGGTTGGGGGGGGGAGGGGAGGGACCAGGAGGAGAGGAGGGAGGGGAACTGGGACTGGAATGTAAAAAGTAAATTAATAAAAAAAGACTTAAAATAGTAAAAGAAATAAAAAAGATGAAAGTGTGACACTTCTTTGTCTAAGCACCAGCCTGGGCCGTCAGGCTGAAGTCAGCCAGGGCATGGAAGTCCCAACAAGAGCCTTGCATGTTTTGTTTTTACAGCCTCTGGCTCATTTCCCCTCATTCCACGATACGAGAGCGACCCCGGTTCCTTTCCCTGTCCAATCTTTGGGATTCTCACACATTACTTACTATTTACCCGAGATTAACGGTCAGGCCTGGATTTTATGTGGCAGCCTCTCTGTCTGAGCTCTTCGGGTCTCCAGAGAGAGGGAGCTGGCAGGGTCAGCAGTGAGTGTGAGGAGGCTGGGGAGTGTAAGTCACTGTCTGTCAGTGATAAATGCCACAAAAGATGAGAGGCAGGCGAGCAGGGTACAGCCAGCCTCCTTACCACTTTATCTCAACACCTCTCCCTGAGGAGGAGGGACAATCTGGAGAGCCTCTCCTTCCATAGTTCCTCCCAGGCCCATGTGGGCCATGCTCTGCATTTACCTGTATTTAAGGAACAATTCTGGCTGGCAGAAAGTACGATGGTTAAAGAGGACTGGGCCCAGCACCAGGGGAGAGTTGTTTGGAGAGTGAGGGTTGGGGAATGGGTAACACCAGCAGACATACACCGATAAGCTGTAGGAGACAGCAGACCTTCAAAACCACATGTACAGCACGACGAGAAACATACAGAATGCGCCGCGACTGATCTTTAAAAGACATTATTTCCAACGCTTCACGAATCACCTTGCACTGTCTGACACGACACTTTCAAGAGAGGTGTATCCTATCCGCTCTCTTCAGCCTGGATATGACTGGTCAGGGTCACAGCGCTGAGCTTAGCTTCTCATGCTAGAGACATTTCTCAGTTTGCTGTGGCCGGAAATCTTTGTCCAGAACTTCTCTGGGATTTTTTTATAAATTCTCACCTCAACTGTTTATCTATAGTTAGTAGGGGTTTTAGAGTCTTTATCACTCAAGCCTTCAAAACTTCTAGAATGAGTGATCATTACTGCGATTTTTTTTTTTTTTTGAGACAGGGTTTAGTCTGAAGTGTTTGACTCAGGTTCACAATCCTCCTGCCTCAGCCCCCTAAGGAATGGAATTACAGGTCATGCTAATGCTGACACTAATGCCCCAGCATTAACTCAGAATATGATAACCTGGTACAGGCATTTCTGGTTTACTCATCATGATTTATTGATACGATATACCTGTGTAGGCGTTTCTAATTTACTCTTCATTATTTATCTTGTCTCTTTTCAGTTTGACAGTATTCTCATAAGGTCACTTTATTGGAGTTAGACTGAATTCAATCATAAAGTTAAACCCTGCTAAGATGGAGGGACTTTCTTCTTGGTCGCTCAGTTGTTATTTACTCACACACAGCACGAGGCTGTGTTTCTATCCACATTCTAGTTCCATGGAAACTAGTCAAGGTTTCTCATGCCTCTGCTCCTAAAATCTACCCATAAAAACACAGTTGCTCTCACAGGAGCCCAGCTCCTGGAATCCAGCTGCAGAGAGGGAGGAGTGATGAGCAAAGGGGTCAAGAATAGGCTGGGGAAACCCACAGAGACAGCTGACCTGAACAAGGGGGAGCTCATGGACTCCAGTCTGACAGCTGGGAAACCAGGCTAGGACCAAACTAGGCCTCCTGAACATGGGTGTCAGTTAGGAGGTCTGGGAAATCTATGGAGCTTCTAGTAGTGGATCAGTATTTATCCCTAGTATATGAATGGACTTTGGGAGCGTATCTCACATAGAGGGATACTCACTCAGCCTAGACACATGGGGGAGGGCCTGGGCCCTGCTCCAAATGATATGACAAACTTTGAAGACTCCCCATGGAAGGCCTCACCCTGCCTGGGGAGCAGACAGGGGCTGAGATTGGTGGTGGTGGGAACAGGGGAGGACAGGAGAGTTCAGGAGCTGGGATTGACATGTAAAACAAGCTTGTTTCAAATTTAAGTAAATTTTAAATAAAAAAAAAATACAGTTTCTCTGCCAAAATCGCAGTTTAGAGGGAAGAACTGTTTACATACGGCGTGATTTAAACCAATGAAATAAATCTTTTTTTTTTTCTGTTGTTGTTGCTGTTGTAATAAAACTCATAAATGCCTAATCTATGTTACTAGTTGGTCCATTCATCTTTTTCTTTTTAAAGTTCAACAGGATATTTTAGGTCTCCTGGAAGAGTAACACCACCGCCACCTTGGAATAAAAAGGACTCAGGCCGACTCCAAGAAGCAGGTGTTTTTAGTTAGGCTCAGCCCAGGGCTTGCTTATAGAGAGCCTGAGTAGGGTGTACCAACCGGACTATGCTGAACTGCCTCCCCCTGACCATAGCTGTGCATGCCTGTGCATTTCAGCATGGCGATGGAGGAAAGGAAGAGCATGTGAGCATGACGGGAGGCGTGGGCCGGGTCATGTAAGGAAACTGTCTTTCTGTGTGGGACACAGAGGGCATTTGTTACCATCAACCAAGAGACCACAGCAAAGACACCCAATTCCTGGACGGCTGATGCTCAGCTGCGCCCAGGCCGGGGCTCCCTGCTCGCTTACTCACCGGTGCTGCTCTGGATGGTCCTCACCGTCGTGGTTGTGCGTGGG